CTCTTGCTAGCAAACAGTAGATAAAGGCAAAAAATTAAAAAAAAAAAAAAAAAACCCGCTTGAACTGGTTTTAAACTTACCTCGTTATCGCTGCTCGCTCCCGCGCCGAGAATCAGGAAGTGATCGTACGGCCGCAAAGGATCTTGGGGCGGGCGCATGCGCAGTTCCGATTCTTGGCCGGGAGATGAGCAGAGACGCAAGGTAAGTCTATGGACGCGTGCATCCGCCTGCAGACACCGCTGGATCGGAGAGACAGAGCAGTCAGCGCTGGATGGGAGTGACGCCGCACAGCTGGAGGGACACATGAAAACATGGGGAAAGAAGAGGAAGATCGGAATAAGAGACATAATTTGAGGTAAGTGCTAACATTTACATGGGGGGGAGGGGGAAAACATTTGGCTTTAATGTCACTTTAAGGTTTCCGCACTTCAGATGGATGTGAATTGTCACCATTAAAAGCTCCTATTAGTCAATGACTTCAAAGACTGTTCCAAACCTGCTCAGCTTGCCAAATGACTTGTAATGACGGGACGCCTGAGTGCCGCGCTGATTATCGTAGGCCCGCTCATACAATTTAATGCGATGTAATGAGATAATTAGTGTATTTTCAGATGTTCGTCATTTTAGAGACAAAAACTTTCATGAAGGAAAAAATGTATATATATATTTGCACTGCAGAAGATATCTATGCCTGGCGCTTTCAGATCAGGACACAGATTGTGACCAGGGACCTGGAGATGGATGAGTGACATCAATTACTGCGCAGAGGGAAAAATGTTTTTGAAAAAGTGTTTTATAATAAACATTTAATATGATTTCATTTAGCTTACGTTCTAAACAACATTCACATACTGGAAAAATAAAAACACAACAACTTCAGGAGAGCACATTTTCCCATGATGAGGGCTGCTCTTAATAATGTCATTTTATTGGTATCTATCTACCAGTAGCTTCCTCATTTCCCTTATTTCGGCTTATATTCGGGACGGCTTATACTCGAGTATATACGGTAATCAAAAAAGCCTCTTAATCCGATCTTCTTCTTTCCAGTCCTTTTCGGCTGTCCCTCCAGCGCTGGTGCGGGACTCCGATACAGCGCTGACTCCTCTGTCCTCCTCTTCTCTCATGTCCCACGGTGCTCCATATACAGGTGAAACTCGAATAATTAGAATATTGTGCAAAGTTCATTTATTTCACTAATGCAACTTATGCGGTGAAACTAATATATGAGATAGACTCATTACATGCAAAGCAAGATAATTCAAGCCGTGATTTGTCATCATTGTGATGATTATGGCTTACAGCTCATGGAAACCCCAAGAACCCCAAATCCACAACCTCAAAAAAGTAGATTATTACATGCAATCAATAAAACAAGGATTGTACATAGAACAATATCGGACCTCTGAAAAGTACAAGCATGCATATGTACTCAGTACTTGGTTTGGGCCCCTTTTGCAGCAACTACTGCAATTACTTTTGCACGATATTCTAATTATTCGAGTTTCACCTGTACTTACCTTGTGTCTCTCCTCATCTCCTAGCCGAACATCTGAAGTGCGCATGCGCCCGCCCTAAGATCCTTTGCGGCCGCCCGAGACTCTTCAGATGTTTGGACGGGAGCGCGAGGTGAAAACACCGGTCAGTTTAAACCCTTTTTAAAAGGTTTTTTTTAAAATGTTTTTTCATATATCTATTGTTTGCTAGCCTTATATATATGCAAAAACAAGCGAGGGTTTAACAACCCTTTAATGGAGAACTATGGGGTCAGGGCTTTTCCCCATAGTTCTCCTTAGGGTAATGGGAGGACACAAACTAGCGTCCTCCCGTCACCCAAAGCTCAGTATACCGCGAGCTACAGCTCGCGGTATACGGAGACCCCGCAGCTGAAGCGGGTCCCGACAATTGTGTCTGGATCCGCCCAGCTGCGTGAGTGACAGCTGGCTCTGCCTATCTAGAGGCAGAGCCAGCTGGACCCGCCCCCTCCCCCGTCCGTTCCGCCAGTCAGCGCTGGAGGATCGGAGTGGGGAGGGGGGAATCCAGCCCCTCCCCTGTCACGGCTCTCTGCAGGGACAAGATCGAGAAGTGAGCGAGCGCCGGTATGTGTTCGCTCACTTCCCGATCTACTGAGCCGACCTGTGACAGTCTCATTGTCACAGGTCGGCTAGAACTACGAGGAGGAGTGAAAAGCACTCATCTCATAGTTCTCCTTTAATTATGGCTTTAGATACACTTTAGGGGGAAATTCCCACCTAAGCGTAGCATTAATCACACCATACTGTGCGCACGCTTTCATACAATGCACCTAGAGTGCGTTATCATGTGCTAGATACATTGCTATTTACCTGAATGGCACCCAACACACCTATCAGCCGCGGTGTGGTGCAAAGCACTTTAGTACCACAATACCATGCGTTGTGGTATAAAAAAAAAGTTGTGTGATGAATGCTGTTCTTGTGTGTGAAAGAACGCTACTCAGGTGAACCAAAAACTCTGAATTTGCCTGTTCATCGGATCGTCAAATCGATTCGCTCGGCCATGTTTTCCAGCAATCTATCGTGCTTTTCATTTGACCCGGTCACCGACTTCAAAGATTGAAGGTAAAGCACAAAAATTATTTAAAATGCTTACTTGGGGCTCATTCACACCAGTCCACACACTAAGATTGTGTAGGGGCAATAAAGGGAACATGTTGTTTCGATGCATCACACTGTTTACAGTCGAGCCGAGGTTGCCTACCCCTGCTATAGAGTTTCACTTGAGTGACAGCTGAGTCTGCCGACATCACATGCAAGATGGCGGCACCCATCAACAGTCTCTGGGCTTTTTGATGTCTACACAAAGGAAGCTTTTGCAGGTAAATAACATACATAAAATACATTAAATGCTTATATAATCTTACGGGAAGACTTTTGTTAAAACGAATAAGGGCAGGGGTGGGCAAACTCCGGCCCTCCAGCTATGGCAAAACTACATATCCCATGATGCATCTGTCTCTGGGAATCATGCCTGCGGCTGTGAGGATCTTGCAATGCCTCATGGGATTTGTAGTTCCACAACAGCTGGAGGGACAGAGTTTCCCCACCCGTAAGGGTCACCCTATAAGTGCCTGACCCCGCTAGCCAGCCAGCGCTAATGTTACAGCGTACGAATGGCGAGAAATGCCGAAAAGGCAAACTCTGGAGTTTAGCCATCAGCGCCAGGTTGCGAGCAACTGCAAATTTGAAAAAGTCATAATGCCAAATTGAATTTGCTTAGCAGGAGCACCCCCTTGTGCCTATTACCCCCCCAGTGGGGGCATCTATGATGACAAGCGTTGCCCTAGCTCACCTGTCTCTGCAGCGGTGACTGTTCCTGGAATTGGCCTCATAGACATGCTTGTGGATGGGTAGAATGTCCCCCCTGAGGACTGGGAAGGCCTGGGCAGCCCTACTACTGAGCCTGCAGCATTGGGGACTGCACTTGGGCAGCTGCAGGAGGTGTCTGTGCAGTCTTAATGCTGCCATCAGCCTCAGCAGTGCAATGGCTGCAGCCCTGGGCAAAGTCTCCCAGCGAAGGGCAAAGGCAGAGCAGCACTTTCGCCTCAGCTGCAGATTCACAAGCAGCAGATTCGTCACAGCACACAATTCCTTGTTGTTGCAATGCGCTCAGTTGGCCACCGGGTGGCGCAGGCCGCGCTGGAAGCGTTTCTCCTACCAAGATAGCAAACAATTGCTAGTTTGAAAATGACTTTCTAGAATCTAAACTATTGCTAGACTTGCCAAGCTTCACAATTTTGTTGCACAATTACAGCAAGTCTCCAGATCATCGAGCTTTGCAAAAGTGCTGTACACTTGCAGAGCTCTTGCTAAAGACCTGCAGGACTCCTGCTGTAGACTTGCCAAGCAAATTTGCTACAAATTCAAAAAGTGTCTACAACTCGCCAGGAATGTGTGCATCAAGTTAACAAGAACTACAATTTAAACCTGCCACAACTTTGTGGCAAGTTATCCTTGCTATCTGGGTATTGAGGCCGCCAATGCAGGTGATGATTTTTCACAAGTCAAAACTGCAAAAATATACAAAAACATTAATTTGTAAAAAATGTAATCTTTAGGCTCAGTTCACATTAAGGCCACATTCACATACGAATCGGAGCTGTACGCGGTAGGAGCCGTACCAAGCAGCTGCCGGGAAGGACAGGTGCTGCGTGTGATTTGTACGCAGCCCCCGTCCTTCTCTATGGGGCTACGCTGCCGAACGCCCCCCTACGCTCACCTCAATTGCAGGTCCGTAGGGGTGCGGGTGAGCGTATTCATACGCCGCCGGAATGGATCCTGTATGCGTCCCGGCCAGGAAATCCGCACCCCGATTCGTGTGTGAATGGGGCCTTATACATTTGGTGCAACAAGGCTTAGAGTCACATATAAGGCATCACACAATAGGCACGGACATATGGAGGCTTACCTCAGAACTTCCCCTTCTTTCTGAGGTTGGGACACCTTTTAAAACAAATGGGGGAATGAATAAAAAGTGTCTGAGACAAACGTTTCTCAGTTCAAGTGCAGCCAATCCGCTTTTATTTTTTGTTATCTAAGCTGTGTGGGAAAAAAATGAAAGATTGAAGCTGATTGATTTCAATGTCAACAGGACCAGTTGAGATGGAACTGGTCTCAGAAACTTTTTTAATGGGAGAAAGACCACGCCCTCGATATCTGTCTTGGTGACCACTACCCTCGATATATAAAGTTTTGGCATATTCAACTTTTTGGAGTTGTCACAGCAGCAGGAGGTGAGGGGGAATCTCCTCATAGTGACACCTGTTCCAGTGACAACTGTCTTAGGCCTCATTCACGTGTTCAGTATCAAATCTGCATTTATATTCATTTAGAGCACATTTCTAAACACTTACCAATGCAGGGGATGCTTTTTCACAACGGTGGACGTTTACCGGTGTTTATGGCCGTTCAGTTAAGCTGGGTTTAGAGAAAATAGAATTCCGTGTGTCCAGAATCCGATTGGAAACTTTAAATTGGTATAAACACAGCCTGCTCCAGCCCCAAAATGTGGGGGAACCCGTGTCGTAACCACGTACAATCCAGGACCAGTGTTGGCCGCTGGTCTTGCATTATATGTGATGATGTAGGCAAGGAGGTGAGCACACAATTAGGAGAAGAAATGGATTTGTGGGACTGGATGTCCATGAATAAGGTAAGCATTCTTCTGAATTACCGAAATAAGCAGTGATTTAGTAATATATGAATATCATGAATATGAATATATATGAATATTTTTTAGAGCTGACTAGAGTTCAGCTTAAACTTGGGGTAACCATAGCATATGGGGGTACGGGATGCAAATGATGGAAGTTTGGGAACCAAATGATGGAGGTATGGGAACCAAATGATGGGGGTATGGGATGCAAATTATGGAGGTATGGTAACTAAATGATGGGGGTATGGAAACCAAATGATGGGGGTATGGGATGCAAATGATGGAGGTATGGGAACCAAATGATGGGGGTATGGGATGCAAATGATGGAGGTTTGGGAATCAAATTATGGGGGTATGGGATGGAAATGATGGAGGTATGGGAACCAAATGATGGAGCTACGGAAAAAAATTGATGAAGGTAAGGGAACCAAATGATGGAGGTATGGGAACCAGACGATAGGGCTATGGGAACCAATTGAAGGAGGTAAGGGAACCAACTGATGGAGCTATGGCAACCAAATGATGGAGGTAAGGGAACCAAATGATGGGAGTATGGAAACTGGCGGCCCAGCATCTTGTTGTCAGAAGCCGGACACAGCGTGCGCTGGTTACTATTTAAACCGGCACGCGCTGTGACTCGTCCGGCACCGGCATCCTCTCATCACAGACGAGAGGACAAGTTAATTTTCACCCTATTCATAAAGCCTATCTCCTAGAATGTTAGAGACCTGGCATGTAAACCATAGAGACCTTGTTTGCAGTCTCGGGCTGAGCAGTCACTACCCTTTGCCATAGGTACACCATGTACTTTTATAATGTGTATCTATGGAAGTGGAAGGTATTTGCTTCTCTGATATCCATCACAAATCCAAAACAAAGGGGTTATTATGTCCTCATTTTAGGATAGTGGGCAGAGCCATGCAAACCATTCCGTCATACTTCATGGCTAACTGTACATCCTGAACTGCTGGTTTATAATACATATTACACAGTGGAACAACTAGACACCTCATGGTGAGGTGGGCTAAAAGGAACTAAATATATACTTTCAGTTTTAAATGTACATTTGGCCACTGGAGCGTAAGGAATAATTCCCATGGCTCCGCCAATATCCTAAGATGAGCACTAAGCCCATTATCTTTGGATTTGTGATGGAAGGTTTAGGGGCTTCACCCTTGTCATGCAAGCTCATCTAAGAGTGGATGGCTAAGTGGCAACTTGGTCTTTACCAGTACAGCCCATATCTTGGTCTTTACTTGGTCTTTACCAGTACAGCCCATATCGAGCAGCTCCCGGGAAGGACAGGTGCTGCGTGTGATTAGTACGCAGCCTCCGTCCTTCTCTATAGGATAACGCGGCTGTACGCCCCCCAACGCTCACCCGTCCTGCACTTCCTTACGGGTACGTGTGAGCGTACTCGTACGCCGACAGGATGGATTATGCCTGCGTCTGAGCCAGGAAACACGCACCCCTACGGACCTGCACTTAAAGTGAGCGTAGGGGGGCGTACGGCCGCGTAGTCCCATAGAAAAGGACGGGGGCTGCGTACTAATCACACGCAGCACCTGTCCTTCCCGGGAGCTGCTCGATACGGCCCTGCACGCAGCACGGAGCTGTCTGTGCCGGCCTATTACAGTGTGAATGAGGCCTAAGTGGCAACTTGGTCTTTACCAGTATACCCCAAAAGGGATGATGAGCCAGTGACCCTATTGCAAGAAGTCACCAGGTCCTGCTCCACAGAATCGTCCTACCAGGAAATAGCAGGATGTCTTTGGAATGTGGGAGGAAACCTACATAAGCTAACCTGCAAACCTTCTGCAGATAAGTGTCCTGACCGGGATTTCAGCCAGGACCCCCAGTGCTGCAAGGCGGAAGTGCTGAGCCATTCTGTGTATAAACTCTTTTGTATACCTCGAGGTCAAAGGGCTTGCATGGCAATTTTATATTGTGTATCCATTTTTAAGCAAAACCGGCAGAGGACAATTTAGGTATATGACGGGCCCGGTGCCCTACTTAATAGCAACATTTCAATACTGTGCGCCAGTTAGCTTGCTATCTGTATCACTTCCCCTTAGGGGGTTCAGGGAGAATCAGAATATATCTCACATTAAAGGGATGGATACCTAGCTCAATGTATTCAGTCACAGCGGGAAGTCTGAGGATTAATCAGGATGAGTGCTGTGAATTTTACAGAAAGCTCTGCCTTTCAGCCTCACAGCGGGGTAGTGGGGATATTGCTATAGTACATGAAAGCCACCTTGTCAGATCTTATCATCATTACTTGCACTGCAACATTCCAGCAGAGTCAAATGCTAACCACAGCTTCACAGTCTACGGCTGTCTCTGAGCTCCCAGTACGCAAACAGCTGTGTTGTGATACGGTTAATATAGCAGCCTAAAAAGAAATGTATACTGCAGACACAACAAATATAAACAAAGTGGAGGTGTGAGGTCACTGGCATGGGCTGGTGCCAGGCAACAAATCTTTTTAAGGATATATAAACCCAATCACTAAAAATCTCATGTGATCTCTTGCAGGTAATGACATTTTACAAAGTAATTTTCAATACTTTTAAATAGGCAGTGACAGCCTACACTTTTATTGTCTTGGGTTTCCTTCAACACCCAATTCCAGGCTGGGCACGCTCCCACCCGATGTTGCCAGCCCCTTTGGAGTAACACCCATCATGACCCAAAATCCATATATACCTAACTCTGTCCCACAGATTTCAGGTCTGGTCACATGACTTTATAGCTCCTCCTCACCTTCAGTTTTCCGTCCTAAATGTGGTGCCTCTCACTGCAACATTTTCCTATGAGCACAGAGTGGCCTGGTGATGCTCATGTTTCATTCAACCTGAAAGAAGCTGGACCTCAGAGCAGAGGTGAGTACTTAAGCCAGAGGTTTTTTTTGGGGTGGGGGGGATGACAGGAAAAGGATTTATTTATTTTTTCCGGAAAAGCAAGAGTTTCACTTTTCAAAGCAAACTATTTTTTTCCTGATTTTGTTTAAGTTTTTGGAATAGGACGTTCACAAGTTTA